AAAAAAAAAAAAAAAAAAAAAAAAAAAAAAAAAATGATGAAGGGGCTGGCTGGTAAGCTCACTTGGTTAGAGTGTGGTGTTATAACACCAAGGTCAAGTGTTTGGATCCCAATACTGGCCAGCCACAAAAAAAAACAAGACTAAGATAGTAATTTTATGTTACATGTATTTTGCCACAAATAAAAAAAGTTTTTAAAATTAATTCTAAGGCCGGCCCGTGGCTCACTCGGTAGAGTGCGGTGCTGATAACACCAAGGCCACGGGTTCGGATCCTATATAGGGATGGCCAGTTGGCTCACTGGCTGAGCCTGGTGCTGACAACAACAAGCCAAGGGTTGAGATCCCCTTACCGGTCATCTTTTAAAAAAATAAATAAATAAAATAAAATAAATAATAATAAAATTAAATTAATTCTACACTGGTGAGTCTTTAGTTGCTTCCAGAGTTTTGCTATTAGGTTTTGCTCTTAGGGGCTGCTCACAGTCCCTCTCTGGAGCATGGGTGTGACTGTCACCTGAGCACTTTCCCAGAAGTGGAACTGCTGTGTTATGAATTCAGGAATGTGCTTTGCATGGAATTAGACTGCACACACAACTACGAGTTTAAAGACTTGAGCTCTACACACAGCGACTTTATTAAATCTCCCAGTCCTGAAGTTGGTGGTGTCATTATGCACATTTTTCAGATAAGCGGAAGTGAGGCCCAGAGTAGTCAAGTAACTTGCCCAAGGATTCACAGCTGACCCAGGGAAACACCCTCCCTCACCGGGGACCCACTGTCCCCTGACTCTACGGAGCATTTGCAAACACTGAAAGATAAGGACAGGAGGCCAGGTGACCAGGGCTCACCGTTGTTGCAGGCAAGCTCATCACTCATGTCGTTGCAGTCGTACTCCCGGTCACACTGCCGGCTGCCGTGGATGCACGTCCCATCTAAGCACTGGAATTCATCAGGGCGGCAGGTGGCCACAACTGGGAAAGACAGAGTGTGCTGATTCTCTCAAGGAGAGGCAACCAGAGAAAAAGAACTAGCACCTTCCAAGCAGCAATTTCCCAACAGGCCAACAGAAGCCTTGGGCATCAGGGGCGGCCGTGTGGATGGGGAAGCTGTAGAGATGGCAAAACACACCGGGGCTTCTTGACCCAGCAGAAGATCTGGCTCATCTCCTAAGCGCAAAAAAGTGGTGCTTCTTTGAGCAGCGGAGCTCCCGTCACGGGTTAAGATCCTATATAGGGATGGCCGGTGAGCTCACTGGCTGAGCGCAGTGCGGGCGACACCAAGCCAAGGGTTGCAATCCCCTTACCAGTCACAAAAAAGACCAAAAAAAAAAAAATAAAAATAAAGGTAATACATGAGCTGGCTGGTTAGCTCAGGTGGTTAGAGTGTGGTACTGATAACACCAAGGTCTAGGTTTAGGTTCCTATACCGGCCAGCTGCCAAAAAATACACATATAATTAAAAAGTTTGATTTCAGTATGTTAGTGAAAAGAGATACAGGAGAGTATCCCTTATCTGAAATGCTTGGGTGAGTGTCCCGTATCTGAAGTGTTTTGGAGTTGGGGTTTTCTCAGATTTTGGAATATGCACATTATACTTAAGAGTTTAACATCCTTAATCAGAAAATCCAAAATCCGAAGTGCTCCAATGAGCATCTCCTTTGAGCATTCTGCTGGTGCTCAAAAAGTTTCAGATTTTGGATTTTTGGATTGGGAATACTCAACCTATAATAAATGTGAAGGCAGAATAACCGACCGTCCCCCCCTTTAAAAAAAAATCCAAGATTTTGGAACACTGTATTTTCAAGTGCTCAGTTGGAGAGGAAAAAATGCTGCCATTTTTAACCCAGGTGGTTATCTTCACATTGAGAGAAAGCAGGGTTGGCTTGTTAGTTAGCTGGTTAGAGCGTGGTGTTGTAATACCAAGGTCAAGGGTTTGGATCCCCATGCTGGCCAGCCACCAAACACAACCAACAGCAACAACTACATGTAACTCTTCTAGAATATGAACTCTGATGACAGCTAAAATGGTAGGATGACAGGGTGTTTTTGATTTTCACATGTATGTGTCCTAAGAAATGTTCCTCAGCTTTATCTGTGCCTCAATTTCCTCATCTGTAAAGAGTGGGGGAAGCTTGCTCAAGAGTTATGGGGATTAAATGAGTTCATGGTAAGTTTTAGAACAGGTCACATACAAAGTCATTGACAGTGTTATTAACAAGGGGACTTTAAATAACTCCAATGACATCTACACAGTGATTTCAACTCTATGAAAACTTCTGGGCATCTGGGCACAGATGCCCAAAACCCAGAAAAATGAAAACATGTTCTGGATCCCTAGTGGCTCTAAATCAACAGCCACCCAAAATGACCTTCATTTAAGTAGCACAAACATTGGGGCAGACCCAGGGCCAAATTCTTCATCTGCAATGTCTCCCATACACCAGGTGCTCACCACATGCTGCTATTTAAATTTCAATTCATAAAACTCATTGAGGGCTGGCTGGCTAGCTCGCTTGGTTAGAGCATGGTGCCGATAACACCAAGGTCAAGGGTTCAGATCCCCTTACCGGCCAGCTAATTTCTGTTCATCAGTTGAACTCACCACACTTCACATGCTCAATGGATACCTGGGGCAGCAGCTCCTGTACTGGACAGAGCAACCATGGGACATTTCCCCCATTGTGGAACATTCTATTGGGTGGCATCAGACTCTAATCATAGCCTGCCAAAGTCAACGCAAGGGCCGGCCACTGGCTCACTCGGGAGAGTGCGGTGCTGATAACACCAAGCCACGGGTTCGAATCCTATATAGGAAAGGCCGGTTAGCTCACTGGCTGAGCGTGGTGCTTGACAACACCAAGCCAAGGGTTGAGATTCCCTTACCGGTCATCTTTTTAAAAAACAAAACAAAACAAAAAAAACAAAATCAATGCAATCGTCCCATCCTATGGTGGAGAGACCACGGCCAAGGGTCACACAGCTTGGACGTCACCAGCCAGGCCTGGAGCCCAGGATTCTTCCTGGGCCAGTAATGCTGCAACTTGTAGCTGCTACCCTGGTCAAAAAAGAGATTAACTAGGGCTGGCCGGTTAGCTGGGTTGGTTAGAGTGCAGTGCAGATAACACCAAGGTCCAGGGTTCAATCCCTGTACCGGCCAGCTGCCAAAATAAAAAAAAAAGAGAGAGGGAGATTAACTAGGTGAAAAAGAGTCTATTTTGGGGCTGCTGTTTCCTCTATGTAATCAGAAAGACTGGAAGAAACACAAAATGGGACTGACTCTCTTGCTTCATGATTGGAAATCATTTAAGTACTTAAAGTCACTGCCTGTTTCCCACCCAGGGAGCCTGGGGACAGGTGACGGGACCCCCCATCCCCACCCGTACCACAGTCCTCCTCGTCAGACTTGTCCTTGCAGTCGGGGCCACCGTCGCAGTGCCAACTGGCATGGATGCATTCGCCGCTGCCACAGTGGAACTCATGGGCAGAGCAGGGGCCATTGTCTCCTTGGGTGGCAGACGTGTCACGGCCTCCGCAGTTCTGTGGCCACTCATCGGAGCCGTCCTCGCAGTCGTGTTCACCATCGCAGGCCCACAGCTCAGGGATGCAGACGGAGCTGTTACACTGGAAGCTGACAGGGCCGCAGGTGGTTACTGGGCAGGAGACCTCATCGGAGCCATCCAGGCAGTCCCGGTCCAGGTCGCAGACAAACTGCCGTGAGATGCACTTGCCATCATGGCACTGGAACTCGTCCTGGGAGCACGTCTTAGGGGCTGTGGGGACATGGGAGGAGGCCACACTGTCACTGCAGAGCCCCAACACCAGCCCGTTCTATAGACAGGAACACAGTGCCACATAGAGGCCCCAGTTAGCAGACCCCCGGACTCTGAACCGCTGCCCCTCTGTGCCTCAGTTTCCTCATCTGTGCATGCCTCCTGGCATTGCTATGAGAATGGGGCAGTTAATAGCTATATAACTCATAGGCTTTACCAGCATGATGGTACCATTATTGACAGGTTTGCTGTCATTATTATTAAAAAAGCCAAGAACAAGCCGGCCCGGTGGCGCACTGCTACAGTGCGCCGCTTGGGAAGTGTGGCAGCGCTCCCGCCGAGGGTTCGGATCCCACATACAGACCGGTTCCCGCTCACTGGCTGAGCGAGGTGCGGGGGCAACACCGAGGGTTGCGATCCTGTTGCCGGTCCCGGTCCGGTACGGGCACGACACTGAGGGTTGCGATCCGTTGCCGGTCACGAAAAAAGACAAAAAGGAAA